TTAAAAAAAATTTTTTTTTTGTTTTTTCCCCTTTGGAGATAATGGGAGATTTCGATAAAAAAAAATTTTATTTTCCTTTTTTTTATTCTACCAAATTATTGGGTGGATGACTGACCGACCGACTGATCATCCCAAAAATTGTTTCTCGCATTTTTTAAAAACAACAAGAATAAAAATAAATCACTATCATCATTTTTATTCTTTTGATCGATTTCAAAAAATAGAATTAAATATTACGCCCAAAATATGAATGAAAAGTTTTGTTTTGCTGGTAATTGTGATTTTAAGAGAAACGAACAATGTATCGCCTAAAACTAGAAAGCCAATAATGCACAACCCTTATGTATGAACATGTATCGTCAGAAATTGATACTTTTGAATTCATTATGAAAAAAAAGAAAAGAAAGAAAAAAATTTTTTTTATGGTTTGTTGGAGCCATTAAAAATTTGTCTCACGAATGTATTAGAATAATGGTATAAAGGTCCTCACAGACAGAAATACTGATTTTGGACAGGCGTATAAATTATAAAATAAACAACCATCGTTTTTCTTTATTATATAATAATGCATGATCATGACGCAGATTATATAATCAAATCACAAAAATGTAAAATGATCGTCGGAATAACTGGAAAAAACCAGCTTTTGTGCAGTAATATTAATCCAAAAGTATAAATTCGATATAATTAATGGGAAAGTTTTTATAGAATTTAAAATTTTTTTTACAACAATGCCAATATCATTAGGTGACTTGTCAAGTATTGGAATAGGAATGTATAGAATGTGTTTAAATAATCAAGAAAATGAAAAGGCTCTGATCAAAGCATTAACAAAACACATTAATAATAATCACAATACTAATGACAATAAAATCATTAATGTTATTGATACATCAACAAATTATTGTGATGGAGGAAGCGAAGAATTAATTGGTAAGGTGTTATCAAGTCATGACAAGAAAATATTGAGTCGAGATGAAATTTGTATTGCTTCGAAATTTGGTTATTGCCAAGGCAAAAACCTTGCATTATATCACAGTGGACATTTCAAGAATATACCTAATGATCATATAGTTCAATACAGTCATAACTGTTATCATTGTATTCATCCGATATTTATGAGGTTAGAATTTTTCATTATTTTCTCAGAGAAAAATCAAGATGTATATATTTTTAATAATAAATTTATTATATGTTACTTTTTTTTTGAAAAGAGACCAATTAAACAGAACTTTAAATCGTTTACGAACTAAATATATTGATATTTGGTTTATTCATAATCCCGAGTATTATTTAATGAATAATATTCATACCGGAAATAATAATGTTGAAGGTTTGTTGTTTGATTGATCTGATTGATCCGATTGATCCAATGATCTGGTTGATATTGTTCATTTTTCATTTTTAGCCTACTTAATTTCTGCGTGTTTGTTAATACTTATCTGCAAGCTTTACATGAGAAAAAGAAAAGAGAAGGCGACAATTAAGAGAGCAGTTGATGTTATTTATGATATATTGGAAATTGAGTCAGAAATCATTTCTTTACAATGGCGTGACCAAGTTTTATCATTTGTTGAAGACCCATTCCATCGAAAAAAACTGTGGGATGAAGTTGAGAACATGATTCGTAAAAATCCATTAGTTCGATTAAGTAATACTACTTATGAAGGTTCAAGCACCTATTCATTGGAATGGGTGGGACATAAAGATACATATAATGCAACAACAACAATAAATTGATTCATTTTTTTAAAATATGTAAATGAAAACTTGTTGAGGTACGTACTTACATAGATTTATATTACATTATTAGATCAGATCAAATTTTTTCAAGAATTAAAAATTTATTTAATGTTAGTTCTTACATAATCGTAGACTATTGCTAACATTGGATAATTTTACAGATAAATTCTATTATTAAATTTTCTCTATTTTTTGAAAATTTTTTTTAAACAATTAAAACTAAAAATACAGAGTGGATAATAATATAATAAATGATTATAAAATATAAAATATTAAGAAAAAAAAATTTATCAAGTTATTTAAATAATTCAAAGATCATGGAAATCTTTTCCAAATCTTGTAGCTTTTATGTATCCTGCACGAATAACAAAATCACCAAATTTTTCATCTTCATATTTTTCTTTGGCATATCTTGTTAACATTGGTTTTAATTCATTTAATATTTCATCTTCTTTTAAACTTTCTTTATACAATTTGTTTAATCTCTGTCCATAAAATCCTCCTCCTAAATAAAGATTATATGTACCAGGGGCCTTACCAACACATGCAA